ATAAGCAGTGTTTGCAGGACATCACTGGATCATTACAGTCTGAGGTGTGACTTGCGTTGGAATTCCCTAAAGGTGATCTAATTCAGAGTGGCTGACTCACACTAAGGCTCCTTTTACCTGCTTAATCCTGCACACTCTTGACTGTCCTTATGTCCCAAAATGGTTCTGGCCTCTGAAGATTTGAAGGTTCTTGAGACAAGGAACTTGACCGCTAGAAGACCACTGAACAATAGGTAACAGTCACCGTAATGTAGTCTTACGAGCTGTGCTGAAGAGAAGCCCAGGGAGGGAGCTGTGGTGGGGTGGACTTAGCCCAGACCTGTAGGAAGGAATAGAGCCCCGAGAAGAGAACTTGGCTGAGTCTTGGTGGGAGAGTAAGTGTTAGTCAGGCAGAGGAGGGAGGACCAGCCTTTTGAAGCACAACTTGCAGAAGAGAAAGAGATCGTTTTGTGTCAAGGAGGTGTAAATGTTCTCCACACTGAACCATGGTGTACAAGGGAAACTGCAGCCAGAGCTAAGGCTGCGGAATTAGGTGAGGACTAGGTTAGGGAGGGCTCAGGAGCTCACAACAAGGAGTCTAATTTTTAATCTCAAGGAAAGTTTATTAAATATTTACAGAGCACCTGCTCTGTTAGCTGTAGAGAAAATAGGCAATATTCCTTCTCTCCTGGAATTTATATTCTGCTGTGGGATGCAGCCTGTAAACAAATGAAAATATCACATATCAGGTATAAGGACTATGAAAAGGGAAAAAGAAAACAAGAGTGACAGTTGAGGGATGGGGGGGTGCTATTTCATATGACGTGGTCAGGGAAGCTTGCTCTGGTGAAGTGACATTTGAACAAAAAGCTGAAGAAAGGGAGTGGGGAGCCATGTGCGTATCTGCAGGAAGAGGCTTCCAAGTCAAGGAACAGGCAGAGCAAAGGCCTCAATGCAAACATGTGCCTTCTGTTCCAGGAGTTGTTAGGAGGCTGCGGTGAGTGAAGGCAAGAGAGCAGTAGGTTGGAGGTGAAGTTTAAGATGAAGGCAGGGAGATGGGGCAGGGGATGGATTGTGAAGGACTGTGTAGCTACTGTAGAGACCTTGAGTTTTACTTGGGGTGAATTGGAATGCCATCAGAGGCTTTTTTAAGCAAAGGAATGACATGCTCTGAAAGGTTTTAAGAAGATGAGTCTATGTGTTATATGGAAAACAGACTTGGGAGGGTTGGGGCATGAGTGGAAAAGGAAGGACAAGGTAGGAGATTGTAGCAATGATCCAGGTAAGAGATGATGGTGGCATGCACTGAGTGAGGGCAGTAAGTGTTGGGAAAAGTGGGAAGAAATGAAGGGTTTGTATGCATGATCAAATGTGTGTTTTAGAGAAGGGACTCTGATAGTACACAGGAAAGAATTGATGAGACCATGAGTAGTAGAACAGGTTAGTTGTCCAACCAGGGCAAGAAGTGATGAGTGGCATGGACTAGACATGTGTTTACTGGTCAGCACATACTTTACCATTCATTCAGCCTATTTGGGGAAGCAGAATAAAGTCAAGAGTCCATGAGTTAAACATAGGGAACCAGTTAAGCAAAGGAATCCAGGTCGGTTGGCAGTTCCGTTCCTAAACCGCAGGGGCTAGTATGTTTAGAGGACAGAGTAGGAGTAGAAAGGTGTTACTTCTCACAGCCTAACTTAAAATGTCTGCTTTGGTCCAAACCTTTTCCCTGCTGGTCATCTGCATCCCAAGACCAGCCTCCCTTCTCTCATTTGTCAATCCCAGGACCGGATTCCCATTGTTTCTTCTCCCCTCTTAATGGTACTTACTCCTCAAGGCCCAGTACATAAGCTTCCTGAAAGTTTCTCTCCTGTGCCCAGAACATTGGTAGCATCTTACTTTACTATGTATTGTCTCACACCATGTTTTAATAAATAACACATTTTAAAATAAACTGAAACCTATTCAAGGACTGAAGTGTTTTTCATTTGCATTTTTATTCTACCATAGTGCATCTGGTAAAGCCAGGTACCTAATACATATCTAGTGTCTTCTAGTATCATCTTACCTGGTACAGTCAGATTCCTGACCTCTGTCAGAAAAATCTACCACATTTCAGCCCTTCGCTGTTCTTGTGGAGACACAGCCACAGTGTTGAGCAGAGGTGTGATAGGGAGGAACCATTGTTGTTTATGAATGTGATCATGCACCTCAGTCACTAGGAGATGGGGGCCACTCCCCTTTTCTCTAAAATTCAGATCTCAGCCATCTCCTTAAGGCTCAGCTCAGTCTGGAAACAGATATTTAGTGTTGGGTCAGATACTTACTGGACAATGGTATTTTAGAGTTAAAAAAAGAAAAAATATGGCCCCTGCCCTTATAATGCTCTAACTATATGCACTATCTAACTAGGAAGTTCAGTCGATCAGTCGTGTCCAACTCTCTGCGACCCCATGGACTGCAGCACACCAGGTTTCCCTGTCCATCACCAACTCCCGGAGCCTACCCAGACTCATGTCTATCACTTGGTGATGCCGTCCAACCATCTCATCCTCTGTTGTCCCCTTCTCCTCCTGCCTTCAATCTTTCCCAGCATCAGGGTCTTTTCCAGTGAGTCAGTTCTTCACATCAGGTGCCCAAAGCATTGGAGTTTCCGCTTCAGCTTCAGTCCTTCCAATGAATATTCAGGACTGATTTCCTTTAGGATGGACTGGTTGGATCTCCTTGCAGTCCAGGGGACTCTCAAGAGTCTTCTCCAACACCACAATTCAAAAGCATCAATTCTTCAGTGCTCAGCTTTTTTTATAGTCCAACTCTTAAATCCATACATGACTACTGGAAAAGCCATAGCTTTGACTAGACAGGCCTTTGTTGGTAGAGTAATGTCTCTGCTTTTTAATATGCTGTCTAGGTTGGTCATAACTTTTCTTCCAAGGAGCAAGTGTCTTTTAATTTCATGGCTGCAGTCACCATCTGCAGTGATTTTGGAGCCCAAAAAAATAAAGTCTGTCACTGTTTCTGTTGTTTCCCCATCTATTTGCCATGAAGTGATGGGACTGGATGCCATGATCTTAGTTTTCTGAATGTTGAGTTTAAAGCCAGCTTTTTCACTCTCCTCTTTCACTTGTCATCAAGAGGCTCTTTAGTAGTTCTTCGCTTTTTGCCATAAGGGTGGTAACAAGGATTAAATAGATTACCAGGTCTGTTTAAATAGTTGTGGATTTGCAGAGCGGCTTAAAGCACATCATATGGGGATTGACCCTATGTTGGGAGATCAGAAGACCTCAGTGAAGATAAGCTAATCTACCTCCAAAGTGTGAAATGTAATTAACAAGGGATAGATGGACGGGAGGGTGGAGAGAGGATGATGTCTTCCAAGAACTTGAGAATTCCTGTTCAGTTATGGCTCAGCACACAGGGAGGGCATGAAATCAGGCAGAAACCATGTAACTTTCCCTCACTGCTCCAGCAATCTCATGGCTCTACTTTCCTGCTGATCATCTTTACATACTTTATTATGTACTTCTTGAGTTAGAAATTGGTTTAACCAAGACCGAAGGACATATTTCATACTGAGCATGATGACAGGTGTCTTAACAAGGCTTGGTGAGGCAAGACAGAAATCAACACATGAAAAACAGAACTTGACTATTCAGAGGCATGGAAGTCCTTAGCCAGCCTGGTTCAGTGGGTGGTGAGGAAGGAGTGACTGGAGGGAAGTACAGCATGCAAAATATCTGTCATCTGGCAGTTCTAATTCTAGCTAGCCAGTCTACAGAAATACTAGCATATTTGCCCAAAGAGTGTATTGCAGTGATGCTTGTAATAGCAAAATATTGGAACTAATCCAAATATCCAAAAGGAATTGGTCCATTTATTCATTCACCAAGTATTTTTTTCAGCATCCACTATGTGCTGGGCATCACTTTAGGCACTTGAGGGGCATATAACTGTGAATAAGATAGTAAAGTCCCTATTCTCACAGAGTGTGCAGTCAGGGAGACAGAAAAGCTAACAAGAAATTCCAGATAATTATTAGAAATACAAGCATCCTTTTAAATCTGCATCTGTTTGGTTCCTGAGTTAAAGTTCAGGTGGCAGGAATTTGGACAGTGAGAGGTACTTGTCTGTGCTAGGAGGAAAATTAAGCATGGTAATATGACACATAGTAAATTAGAAGGAGGTGCTGCCACCTTTTCTCAGGTGGCAATTCTGGATGTGAGACCTAAAGGACTAGTGACTGGTTGTCAGCCATGTGGGAATCCGGTGCCCAGGGTGGGAAGAAGCTTGATGTGTTCAGGGATCAGCGAGGTCAGCAGGGCCAGAGCCCAGTGAGGGATGGAGCAAGTTTGAATCTTATTCTTAGCACAGTGGAGTGCTGTGAGTTTTAGGTGATGGGTGTGTGATGGTACTCCAAATGTACTCTGGAGTGCTTTGAAGCAATTCAAAGTAATGAGGTGAAAGTAGACAAAGCACTAAGGGAAGACTTCCAAGATACATAGCTAAATGTAAAAAGCAGGATGTAGAACAATATAAATGATAGTTCATAAAACAAGACCATGTGGGGGAGAGGAGAGGGTTAAGGAAACATGGAAAGGGACGGCATAGTATATACACCAAACTGTTAATAGTAGTTACTTGTAGGGAGTTCAGTGGAATTGGCAATGGGGGTGAAGGGATGCAGTCACTTTTTATTCCCTGCTGTATTTGGGTTTTGTAGCAAAGACAGTGCATGGGCAGTGAGGAATTGGTGATAATATAGAAAGACTTGGCTTTGAAGGTAACAAGAAGAAAGCTAAGTAGGCTTACAGGATTGTGGAATATATTGCCCCTCATGACTTTCCTGTGTGCCATATTAGGTTCTCTATAAAATTATATAACAACTAGTATATTTAACCCACTGCCACCTCAGGATGTCAAACATGTGATCACCTTTTCTGATAGACCCTATAGTAGGTTCCCAGTACTGCCATGGGAACATTTGTGGGGTTGATCCCTACTTGAGCAAGAATGTGTTCCTACAGGAATCACTGACTTTTAAGGATGTAGCTGTGAACTTCACCCAGGAAGAATGGCACCACGTGGATGCTGCTCAGAGGCGCTTGTACAAGGATGTGATGCTGGAGAACTATAGCCACTTGGTTTCTCTTGGTAAGGACCACATCTTCTTGTCTATGTATTGGCAGGTCTTCCCTTTCTCAGATGCTCAGGTTGTGGGGCTCATAGTTTGGGTGACTGTGAGCAGGGTGTTCAGGGTTAGAATTTGTTCATCTTGTTGAGACCCAGGTTTCTGGGTTTCTGAGCCTGCTTTTTAGGTAAATAGGAACCAGAAATAGGCCATTTGATTGCATGACTCCTCAAGTTCCACCTTTTTTTCCCCTTCAGAGTTACTGAGAGTCAAGTCCTAGTTCTGACTTGTAGAGGGTTCTTTGTCAACTTGCATAAACAACCAAATCTTATGTGTTTACCTATGAGCAGGATATCAAGTTTCCAAGCCAGAGGTGATCTTCAAATTGGAGCAAGGAGAAGAACCATGGATAGCAGAGGGAGAAATCCAAAGACCTGTCTGTCCAGGTAAATGAGGGAGAATCCCAGAATCAGTGCAGAATGTGGCACAGCTGAGGGAGAGGGAAGCACCTTCACTTTGCTGCCTTGGGAGCTCCTCCATAAGAGCTGCACCGTCTCCTGGATGACACCTCTGTGTGTCTCCCTTCTCCAGTAGGGTTTGTTGCTGTTGATAGGTCTCAGAGGAAAAGCTACCCCCTTTGTCTTACTCAGAATGCCATCTCTCCCTGTCTTGTAACACTACTTCTGGATCATTTGCTCCTCTAGTATCCTCAGTCTCCCTGCGTTGTTTGGAGATCTCTCTTACTCATTCAGATATTAATTGAACTCCCGTGTCTCCTCTTTGTTTCGTCTTTCTGCTTTCACTGTCAATGCCCAGACTTGTAGGGAATACCCATAATCTTGATTCTCCTTCCCTCCAGGCTTCTTTGCCTGATTGTACTCCTGTTACACCTGTCTGGGGAGCAATGTCCTGCACTCCTGCCCATCTGATTCATTTCCTCCCTCCAAAGTTCCTCGAGTAGCCTTCTCTCCTGACTTGCCCACTTGTTCAGTGCTTCTTGGCTTTAGGTCTTTGGCTTTTCTTGCTTTTCCCTCCTAATGAATCTGTCTTAAGGAGCCTGCCTTCTGGCTTCCTCTTCATTCTTTCTATATTGTGCTTAGTTGCTCAGTCATGCCCGACTCTTTCCTACCCCATGGACAATAGCCCACCAGGCTCCTCTATTCATGGGGATTCTCCAGCAAGAATACTGGAATGGGTTGCTGTGCCCTCCTGCAGGGGATCTTCTCAACCCAGGGATCGAACCCAGGTCTCCCACATTGCATGGCAGATTCTTTACTGTCTGGCCACCAGGGAAGCCCAAGAGTACTGGAGTGGGTAACCTTATCCCTTCTCCAGGGGAACTTCCAGATGCAGGAATCAAACCGGTGTGTCCTGCATTGCAGGTGGATTCTTTACCAGCTGAGCTACTTGGGAAGCCCATTCTATATTACTTCCCTGTAAAAGGGTGCCTGCCTTCTGGTAGTCACAGGTCTTTATTCTGTGCTATAGACTCAGAATTGTCCTTACTTGTACCCTGGTCACTTTTTTTCCCTCTTCCCTTCCCACAGGACCCCTCCAATGCAAGTCCCACAGAGTTCTTATTAAAGATGTAAAATCTAAGTTAATCATTTTGCATCCCCAGACAGCACATTTTGCTACCTTACCTATTAACCATTTCTTCTCTTGCCCATTAGGAATTATCAGATTGCCAGTTCCTCAGGCCAGAAACCACAGTCAGTCTAGTCTTTTTCTTTCAATCCAAGTTATTTTCCTCTTTTGAGAAGTATCTTGGATTTTCCTGCCTTTTAAGTTGGATTGGTGATATCCTAAACCATGCCTCAGATTTAGATTACTATAATTCCCGGTTGAAATTGCTCACTCTATCTTATCTTTTTGTAATCAGTATTGGGTTTTTTAAATCATAGTTGTATTGAGGTATAATTGACATACCATAAAATTCTCCCTTTAAAAGTGTACATTTCAGTGGTTGTTTGGGGATAAATACAGAGTTATGCAGCCATCACCACTATCTAATTAAGCAGAACATGTTCAGTATCTCCAAAAAGAAATCTTATACCCATTAGCAGTCACTTTCTACTCCTCACTCCCCTGAGCTCCTGGCAACCATTAATCTACTTTTTGTCTCTATGGACTTGCCTATTCTGGATATTTTCTATAAATTGAATCATAATATGTAGCCCTTTGTGATTGGCTTCTTTCACTTAGCATAAGGTTCATTCATGTTGTGGCATGTATCAGAACTTCACCCCTCTGTATTGCTGAATAATATTGCATTGTATGGATTTATCACATTTTGTTTATTCATCACATCATGGACCATGTTGAAATTTAACGCTTTATTTCATAAACTACCATTCTCTGAAAGAACCTTTTACCTCATTATAGGAAGCAGAAACTCCCTTGATTTTTAAGGTCCCCATCATACCTTCCGGTAATATCTTTTCTGTTCCTGCCAGAGAAAGCTCCACCTAGGTTGAATTTCTTTTTGAAGTTACAGACCTGAGTACATTTCACCCCTACATACTTGCTGATGTTCTCTGTAAGAAGTATACAGTTTTCCTCATTAGATAATAGTTTCTCTCTGTCCAAAGCCATCTATAAGGTCAAGGTCTCTCTAATTCATAAAACCAAATATATGCTAATATACTTGTTTCTTTCTTCCCTGGTCACAAATACCATTTATATCATCTCTACCACACAAAATCAAATTTACTACATTCCATCTGTTGAGGTTTTTTTTTTTTTTTTGGTCATCAAAAGATTGTCTTGTTTTTATTCTTAGATTTTTAAGCTCCTGGAGTGTCTATTTATTATGTTTCTAAATATTTTCCCTCTGTGTTGCAGAGCATATAGAAGGCAGTCAGAAAATTATTGATTGTTATGGAATCTTGCTGGGGAAAGAACTTTCTCATTCATTAATTTCACCAAACATTTCTTGAATGTCCCACTGAGAAATATTCTAAAAGGAACACAAAGTATTCTCTGTCCTCAGGAATTTAGAATTGAGTCTTGTTCCAGGGTAAGGAATTCAGGAATTTAGGGTTCTTCAGTTACTGTTTTTTCTCCCCTTCTAATGTTTATATGAAAATTTTCAAAATTTGAGAAGTTGAAAAGATACAGTGAACACCATATATTACCACCATGATGCTATAATTGTTAACCTGTTGTTATATTATATACTAACCTATTAGGTTTGCTTTATCACATATTTCTTTATCCATCTATTAATCTGTCTTTTGATGCATTTCCTAGTGAGTTGCAGACATGAGTACATTTCACCCCTATATACTTCAGCATGTATATCATTGACAGGAGTTCAATATTTGTTCATAGTTCTTTTTTTTTTAATTAAAAAAACATTAACTACAGTGAAATTTACACCTCTTATAAGCACCATCTGTTTGACTTTGACACATGCATTCTCCCATCTAACCCAAACTTCCGTTGATATGGAACATCTCCAGCATTCCAGAAACCTCCCTCCCGTTAGTTTTTAAAAAATTACCATTCTTAGAACCTAGACAGTAATTAATTTTCTGTTAGTATTCAGAGGTTAAACAAAGGTTTAAAGGTCAATTTTTTAGGCAAATTAAAATAAATTGTTTTTGCTTAAGAGAGGTGATTAATGTAGAATCAGAACTCAAATAGACTAAAACCACAGCTCTAGTTGTAAGGGCAAGGATGATTTGCCTCTTGAAATATTACTTTTTTATCTGCTTGGGAAGTATAGCCCTCTATCTCTAGTTACGTCAAAGAATCATTTCAGTTAGTTCACTGGCTACAGATTTTCTCAGCAAGGTTTGAAGATCTGAAGCCTCAGAAGTGACTTTAAAGAAATTATGAAATGAATGTATTAGGAAGACAGATTCCATGGCAGTTTGTAAAATGGACAAAGAGGCATGAATAGCAGATAAGACTCTGCATGAAAGACTATGATCCTATTCTGTTTTTATCTGTGCCTAACTCTCTCATGCTCACTGGTTCCCTTACTCCCTAACAAGCCCTTCTATGTGGGCTTTCTCATTCTGGACTTATCCTTCATGATAGCTCGGCAATGATAGCTCTGTCATCTCTCTCTACTCTTCCTTTCTCCATTCAGGGTCTTCTTTTGAAGTTATTAGATTAATTTCAAAACAAAGTGATATATAATTGCTGTCTTTTCATTCCTACTGTAGCAGTTTGTTTTAACAGAGGGGAATAGGGGATGTTTGCACTTTGGGTTTCTTTCAGACTGGAAGACCAGGCCTGAAGCCAAATCTTCACATCTGCAGCAGAGCATATCTAAAGTATCCCTTAGCACAGATGAGCTCTCACATACCACCGGAGAAGATGCTTGGGACCTTAGTGGCCAGTTAGAAAGGCATAAGGAAAACTGGAAGAGACATCTGGGGCCAGATTCATCCACCCAGAAGAAAATAATCACACCAGAGGAAACTTGTGAGCAAAATACATTTGGTGAAAACTGTAGATTGAACACAGACCTGGTTACGCAACTGAACATTCCTCCAGGGTCTAGTGAATGTGATACCCTTGGGAGCAATTTGGGACATAATTCAGACTTACTTAATCAGAATAATATCCTTGCAAAAAAGAAACCTTATAAATGCAATAAATGTAGAAAAGCATTTATTCACAGATCATCTCTGACTAAACATGAGAAAACTCATAAAGGAGACGGAGCTTTTCCCAATGGTACAGATCAGGGAATTTACCCTGGAAAGAAGCACCATGAATGTACTGACTGTGGGAAAACCTTCCTCTGGAAGACACAACTTACTGAGCATCAGAGAATTCACACTGGAGAGAAACCCTTTGAATGTAATGTGTGTGGGAAGGCCTTCAGGCATAGCTCCTCCCTAGGTCAGCATGAGAACGCTCATACTGGAGAGAAACCCTATCAGTGTAGTCTTTGTGGGAAAGCCTTCCAGCGCAGCTCCTCTCTCGTTCAGCACCAGAGAATTCACACGGGAGAAAAACCTTATCGATGTAATTTGTGTGGGAGGTCATTTAGGCACGGCACATCCCTCACTCAGCATGAGGTTACACACAGTGGAGAGAAACCCTTCCAGTGTAAGGAATGTGGGAAAGCTTTTAGTCGATGTTCTTCTCTTGTCCAACATGAGAGGACACATACAGGAGAGAAACCTTTCGAATGTAGCATATGTGGGAGAGCTTTTGGTCAGAGCCCATCCCTTTACAAACACATGAGGATTCATAAGAGAGGCAAACCATACCAAAGCAATAACTATAGCATAGATTTCAAGCACAGCTCATCTCTTACTCAAGATGAAAGCAATGCCACTGAAGTGAAATCCTATCATTGCAATGCCTGTGGGGAAGACTTCAGTCACATTGCAGACTTCTCTGACCATCAGAGGATCCACACTGGAGACAAGAACCCCTATGATTGTGAGCAGGCCTTCATTCAACAACCTATTTCTCACCCAGGTGAGAAACCCTATCAATGTAATGTATGTGGAAAAGCTTTCAAAAGGAGTACGAGTTTCATAGAGCATCACAGAATTCATACTGGGGAAAAACCATATGAATGTAATGAATGTGGAGAAGCTTTCAGTCGACGCTCATCACTGACTCAACATGAGAGAACCCACACTGGAGAGAAACCCTATGAATGTATTGACTGTGGGAAAGCCTTCAGTCAGAGTTCATCTCTCATTCAGCATGAGAGAACTCATACTGGAGAAAAACCCTATGAATGTAATGAATGTGGGCGAGCTTTCCGAAAGAAAACCAATCTGCATGATCATCAAAGAATCCATACTGGAGAAAAACCCTATGCTTGTAAGGAATGTGGGAAAAACTTCAGTCGAAGCTCAGCTCTTACTAAACATCTGCGAATTCATACACGAAATAAACTCTAAGACCCTTGACATTAAGAAATACGAAGAAAGCTTTAGTTAAAATATTATTCAGTATCAGACGATTCTTACTGGAGAGGAAGCTTGAGGATATAATGAATTGTGTGTGTGTGTGTGTGTGCACACATGCATGCAGGTTTGTATGCTTGTGTGCATTGTGTGTTGAGAAATCTCTGTACTAGCAGTGTTTTTTTTAATAAAAGCCACATTCTCAGATCTGATTACATACATGTGAAAACAACTACAGACATCTTAAATAACCTGTTAGAAATGACATGCCTATATATTGGACTTTGTAAAGCTTTTGAATATATGTATGCAGGGAATCACCAACTTTCAACAATTTAATTTGTAACTCTCAGTGTTTACAGCCTTTTTTAATAAATAAAACTCCCACAGTGATGACCAAAACTCATTTTTAAATTGTTTGACAAATGAATTCAACTGCAGCTCTTACATTAAATTTACCATGGAAACCAGTTTCACCTCCAGGAATTCACCGTTCAAAGAATTAAATCAGCTGGTCCAGCCTCTTCCTTGTACAGATGAAACTGAAAGCCAAAGATGTGAAGTGGTTTGCAAGCCTGATACAGTTTATAACAGTGAAGCTGGGTGGAGAATGCAGGACTTCTGGATCTTTGGCCCCATGGTCTTGCCACTGAAAAGATATTTTGGAATTCAGGGCTTTAAAATAAGTTTTAAAATAAATCAGATGCACAGATATTTAACAAGCACTCAGGAGTTAAATGTAAGAGGCAGCAAGACATATGCAAATTTGTCTTACTTATTTAAAGCAGCTTGTTGGAAGCTTACAACCAAAGTTGTAAATAGTTGAGCTACTAATGACTTCTTTCCTTTTCCCAAGTATCATATTTCAGGAAACATATGGTCAGTTTCATAGAATTTATTAAGTCTTCCTGCTGTGCTTTTCATGATCCTCCCATGGGAAAGCACTGCACCAAGTTTCCTATATTGATTTGATCAATGGGAAAACAGCACAGAACCATAGACACAAAAAAAAATCCCCCAATTTAATTTTACTCAAGTATGAATCCAGTTATCTGTTGCCATAAATCTTGCCTTTGAATCAGTTTAGGGAATCAGCATATAGCAGATCATTTTGTGTGCCAAGGAAATTTTCACCATTAAAAAATTAACTTTTTTGGCTCTATGGTGCTTTTCCATCAGTAAAGAATGAGGTAAACTTCAGGAGCCCACTCTAGTCATTAATATCCCTTAAAGCCTCCCATGGGCTGTTCTAAAGGAATTTCCAGAATCTGTTCATTCACTGGCACCAGCAGTGCAGATAAACTTGGGAGCAACTGTGAAAATTGACACCTTTCATGAAAGAGCCTCTGCCCCTGCCCCCAGGATAAGCAGATTTTTCCATCCTAATGGTGAATCATGGGGAGGAGTGATAAGGGTTGGTGTTGATGGTAATCCTTTCCTACTGGCTTCTCTGCATGCCAGGTAGCAGGAGCTGTCCTTTTTGTCTTATCCTGGATAAGCTCCAAATGCAGCTCCTGATGCAGCTCCAAAACATCCTTCATAATCCTTTGCAGGAAAAATGTGTGTGGGGTCAGAAATGTGGGATGTCTAGCCCAGTGCATTTATCACATGTGAAACAGGATGGGTTATTCTGTGGCAGATTTGTCCTCCCAAGACTTTAACTGTTCAAAAAAACCTTTTCTCCGCTTAGTGCTTTGTACACACTGAGTGCCGAGACCATGCCTATGTTGTCAATAATTCTACTCAGAATCTCCTCCACTGGTTGGCTTCTTAGCTGGGAAGCCTATCAGAAACTCCTTTTGATTTTGATTGGGGGTCCCCATAGTGGACTGTTTGCAAGAATGGCATGAATTGTAACCAGTTGAGTGCAATGTAACTGTTATGGAAGTTTATAAAGACTTGGTTCCAGGATACCTAAAGGAGACCACTGGTTTGTGTGTGGAGTCTGGCCTAGATCCAACCACCCCTGAATCTCAGCACATCGTCATTGGTTGGGGGTAGCCCAGGATGTATGTATGAATGGAGGATTGCCTAGTCCAGCAACCACACACCATGCACTTATGAACACCGAGCTTTCTAGGCAATATGAATTACATCCTTGGAACATCATTGTATTATTTCAATAAATAGCCTTCTTAGTTGAATGGGAGTCAGTTTGTCTTTTTCCATTTTCAGAACTTGGCTAAGATTAAAGAGTGGTGCATCAAAGGAAGAGGGATTAACTGCTAAACTCATCACAGCCAGGTGAGTTAATAATAGCATTTACTGAATGCTTACTTCTTGAAAGACACTGCTAAGTACTTTACAGCCATCATTTCATTTAATCCTTACAGCTGCCCTGATAGGTCTTGTGGTATCTTGTCTTTGCCCAGCTTTTGCCCCCCTCTTCCTCTTGTAACAATCCCTTCTGTACTGACCACAAGAACACAAGTCAGGACATCCAGGAGCTCAAAGATAAGTTCAGGGACTGTTGAGCCAATTAGAGCCTTTGAACAGAATTTTTTCAAAACAGACTTTAGCAAGGATACTTTGATTTGAGGTCGCTAGGCTGATAAGGTGAAGGCCTAAAGTTGCTTGGAACCTAATTCCTTACCAGAGAGGGCAGGTCTGCTGTCATTGAACAGGATGAGGCGACATAATGGTATTCTCATTTCTCATTCCTGAAGTCCCTGGACTGGATTCAATTTCCAAAGCTCTTCCTGGGATTCAGTGGGTTCCCCACGACCAGTGGAATGATTCCCCTTTTGTTATATTTCTGTTTGTTGCTTTGAAGAAACTATGTATGTATTATATCTTCGTTTTCTAATGGGGAGAAAAACCCAAAGAGATATCAGACTTGGAACCCAGAGCTGCCTGGCTGCAAAGGCACAGCTCTTACTCTCTGATCTTCATCATGTCTTCAGAGCCATGTTGTGTTCAAGGAACTGCATATAACGGGCTTTTGAGGGTGAATGGAAGAAGGGATATGGTGATAGTTTAAACTGGAGACCCAAGTGGAAACAAAATGAAGGACCTTGGAAGGTTTTTCTTGACTATTTCAGTAAATTAAGTCCCCCCAATTTACCCACAACCTTCATCCCTTAATATATCAGTTACTTGTATTTGCCTGTACTGTAGATAAAATCTTGTATCATACTTAAATAAAAAACCTTCTTATAAATGTTTTCATGTTGCTACATAGTCTCATGATCCCCTTAACAAATCCACTACTATTGCAATAATATTTGGATAGTTTGGGGCATTGGTTTTATAATAATAATACTGAATACTTATACCTTTTGAAGCACCCTTGCCTTTTTATTTCCATAGAATTTTTTTCTTAAAATGCCCATTGTGAGATAAATATCTAGAATGGGGTTACTGTGTCAGCATGTATAGGTAAGTATAACCAGATGGTGTGAGGTTCATGTAAGAGTGAAATAGATATAACAGTGCAGGAATAATAGTCTCAAAATTGCAAAAGAGAAACAGGAGAAAACCAATCTTCCACTCCTGTTGCCTGGGTATGTGTGGGGAAAAGCCCCAGGGCAGGCCTTAGGTCCTACAAAGCCTCTTGCATTTCTCTGTGCAATCGTGGATAAGAAAACAATTCTTCTGTTATTAGGTATACTGATGCTGGTGCTCAGGTCTTTATAGCTACAGTGGGCCTTGATAGATACTGAACTAGTTAATTCCTTTTTGTTAAAAATGCAGATGTCACATCAGGGAAGGTTTTAATGACTGCCCAGCTAAATTGGTCTGCTTTTAAATTCTAATGGATTATGTTGATGTCCTTCATTTTACCATGATTTGTACTTTTGATGGATTGGTTTTTCTCCCCACCCTGAAGTAGATGGGGAGTTCCAGGAAGGCAGAGTCCACATAATTTGGCTAACTTTTGTTCCCTTGCTTATCAAAAAGCCAGGGACACAATAGGTACTTAATGTAGTCTTGTTAACAGTACAGTGGAGATGTGTTGATAGTCAAAGAAGATTGGCTTTTCTTTTTTTTTTTGAAGATTGGCTTTTCAAAATGAAAAGATGCTCCATTTTGAAATCAGAATACTGCAAAAGAAAGCAGTGAGATATTATTTCATATTCATTAGGCTGGCAAAAAATTAGAAGTCTGGCAGGGAGAAAATGAGAACTTGTTCTTCATTGGCAGTGTAAGGGAAGTTCCATATCTTCCCTTGCTCTTGATATAGGACTTACAGGGCTCCGTCTTTGGACCTCTTTTCTTTTTCTACAGTCCCCCTCACTGGGGCTGTCATCCAGTCTGAAGGCTTTAAATACCCACTTGAAAATTTTATCTCCATTCCAAGAGTGCATACTCATAACCAACTGCCTACTTGACATCTCCACTTGGACTTCTAACAGACATCCCAAATTTAATATATCCAAAGATGAGCTAACTCATGATCTCCCCATCCCAATCTCATCTTTTATCAAGTTCCTCCCTCAAACCTCCCATCTGAGAAAAGGTAACCCCAGTTGCTCAAGCCCCACACTGGGTAACCATTCTTGATTCCTTTTTTTCACATCCTACATCCAAGGTTCATTAAGTTCTGTTTGCTAACTTGCAGGATGTATGAGGATGGCCATATCTTGTTGCTTTTCTCTTTCTGGAATCCTCTTCCCCTAATATCACTTGGTTTGGTTCCTCACCTCCAGCAGATATTTGTTCAGTGAACCCTTTCTTGACTATTGTACCAAAATAGCAATTCGTGGGAATTCCCTGGCAGTCCAATGGTTAGGACTCTCTGTTTTCACTGCTGAAGGTACAGGTTGAATTCCTGCTCAGGGGAACTAAGATATCACAAGCTGTGTGGTGTGGCCAAAAAATAACAATAGTAAAAAAGCAGTCCCCCTTCATGGCACACTCCCATCTCCCTTCCCAGCCTCATTTTCTCTACAATACCTACCACTACCTGACATAGTAAATATTTTACTTACTTTTTATATGCCCTTCTGTTTTTTGGGGGGGTGTGTGTGTGTGTGTAAATTTTATTGAAACATAACATTCTTAAGATACAAAAATAGGTGAACAGCTTGATGGTTGAGAACAGCAACTTACATATCTTGCTCAGTGCCCTTTCCACAGTATAGGAGATAACACCAATGTTTAATGAATGGTTGAACTGCATGTACATGTACTAACAAGGCTAACATCAAAAACAATTGAAAATAAAGTTACAGAGGGATTATATACAATGTGATAAAACTTATTAAAGGTCCATATCACCTTTTTTTAAATCAACTTGTGAAGTAAAAGTAGGAAAGTATTAAAATATCAGCTTTAGAATGGTGGTTTCCTCTGGAGCTAGAGGGGAAAGGGATGGGAAGGGATAAAGAAAGACAAACTTTTAGTTTTTTTTTTTTTAATAAAAAATCTCAAAATATTAATATTTGCTAAAAGAAGGTGATGCATATTTGTTGTATATGTGTCTCTGAATGTTAAACTCTTTTACAGTTAGTTTGCCTCCCTGCTCCTAATCTGGTCCCTCCTCACACACAGCCAAGCTGGGGAATCACGCTTGGTTCCCCCTTGGTACCATGAACCTATGCTGACCTATTCAGCATGCCTGAAGGATTTAGGAAGAGGAATAATGGGCAATCGTGTTTCCAAGGATGAGAAGTTGATCCAGGCCCAAGAAAGGGATGTCTTGGTACTGTCAAAATCAAGTAGAGCAGTTCCCACTCTAGAAATGCCATTTTAGGGAATAATTAAAAAGAAGGGGAGGACAGGGGAGCAGAGGGCTTCCTGTGGATAAGCAGCATAAATGATTATTGGCAGGTGTTGGTGGAAGGAAAGAACTAATTTTTGCTAGCAAGTTTTAGTGAAAGCCCTATAATTTTGAAAAAACTTTTTTTTTGTTAAACATGTTAATGGATAAAGGAGCCAGGAAATTTGGACCTGGTAACAGATGGTATTTTATTCTGGTATGACCAGATAAATATTAGCTGTAATGATTAATGGGGTTTTTGTTTTACTATGTGCATTAAGAAACTAGCAATTGCCAGTTCTCAAATTTTAATATTCATTTTCAAAAGTTAAAGAGTTGTCACAGGGTTTTGGCATGGATTTTTTCTATTAGCTTAGAATTGCTGCTAAAATCTGAACCATGAAAAATGTCATGTTCCCCTGCATTCTCGAGGGCACCACACGAAGCAGGCACATGCTCCCCACAGGATGCATGAGGAGGTGGGAGAGGCACAGCCTCTCACTCCTAGGGCCCCACTGACGTACCCACAGAACAGTCGTATCCAGGGGAGATGGCGCCTCTGGTCACAGGCTGAGGCCTCTGTCCCTCCACATGCATGGCGCTGGGGGTATCAGGCACCAACAGCTATTAGGGGCATCTGAAATCACTGGAGCTTATGTCTTTATCCCCAGCAAAGCCACAGGCCCACCACGCGGCTACTACCCCGAGTTCTTAGGAGAGCTCGCCGTGCACTCAGGACGTGTGTATTTGGTGGCAAGGCGGTGGGGAGTAATCTAACAGGGATAGGTGCTGCAACAGTCTGGAGATTTCTGCGGGGAGGGGTGTGCTGCCGGAGTAACCTCTGCCCGCCGAGTGTGAAGCCCTCTGAGGGTCCGCCTTTGTGGGCGGAGTTCGAAACTGAGACAAGCCCGCTCTCTCCTACTTCTTTCCTGACAGTGTTCACAAGACCAGGATCTTAGGTTTTCAGTGGATCTTGGGTAGGCCGACTGTATATAGTGCGTGTTCAGTCGTTATTGATTCACTAAACCAGGACCGTTGAGCTCATTCTCAAGGGGGAGCTCAGTAGATGGGAAGCTGGGATTGTGCTGGCACACGGGACATGTGTTTATCCTGTGCCTGAGCCCACCTGAGGAAAGAAGTTAGACGGTGGGCAGGAGCCATCGGACTGTGTCCCAGGGGCTGCCCCACCAAACTCGCGTGTGACCCACCTGGAGAGGGGTTGGAGGTGTGGACCAAAGTAGCCCACTCCTCTATGAGTGAATACAGTGGGCCGGGATGAAGCTGCATGCAACCCGCAAACCAGCGCGCAAACCCTGTGAGGAAGCCACCTATGGGGCAAGCCACCGGCCTCCGGCCCAACAGGACTAATACAGCCGACCGACACCTTCCTTCTCAACCATTGCTCGACTCATTCGGGCCTCTAAGAATTAAGGTGTGAATCTGGAGTTTTGAACTGGTCTAATCTAAGTTTTAATAAACCTAAGTAAGCACAAAGCTGCTTTTTCTCATGTTAGGAGCTCATAACAAGTATTTGATAACCTGG